GATCTTTTTGAAGAGCTGGGTGGGTTTGCAAGCAGTGATAGTCTGCACTCATTGAGGCAGGTGTAGTTGCAGTCTTAGACAATATGAAGTCTGGTGCATATTTTCCTAGCTGGTTCTGAGCATTAGGTTGGTTCACTTGCTCTGACAATCCTTGTCTGACTTTGTTCTACACTGCGCTGAGGAAAATGCAGTGCATGTCTCCCCAGCCCCGAAAATTGATTAACACTGCTAACACACAAAAGCAATTCTGCTGTCACTGAATCGCAGCACGACAGAATATTCAGCAGGCTAGTTTTTAATAAAACATTGTTTTTCATAATTAATATAACAAGGTTTTCTGGCTTAGCACTTGGTGTGAATCCCAGAAAAAAAAACAACAGAGGGCAATGAGTTGCTGTGACGTGACCATTGCATGGCAAATGTTACGAGTGCACTTTTTCCCCTTAATGATTTGTTTTGTAATGAAGTTACGCTGAAATTGCTCAAGCAAAAAAAGAACAGACTTTGCACACTGATGTAACTGTGGATTCCCCTCCCATACACAGCCAAATTCCTGTTTTCATCCTTCTTGCTTTTATTCAAGTCTAGTTTTAGGAGTTTGTGTAAGTAACATTACAAATGCTATTGATGTTATACAGCAGAAGTCAAACACAGATTTAGACATTAGCGCATACTGAGTCAGTCAAAATAGGACAGAAAAGATCAGGGACTTTTATGGATCCAGAGGGTTTGGAAGAGTATAAAGTAACAACTTCTGTCTGTTCTTTCATACCCTGAGGAAAAACTGATTTCACCTGCACAAATCCAAAATATTTCTATACATGGCATGAAAATGCATCATGGACGCAAGTGAGAGCAAAATTTGCTCCTGTTTTAACATATGTGTGCAACTGTACAAAATACTGCCTTTGGATGTAACTGGTCTTCCCAGTTTTCAATTTTGAGTGTTTTTTTGTTTGTTTGTTTTGCTTTTAATTGCAATAGATCCTCATGGATCCACACATTGGCTCTGTATGGACAAGGACTTTTTAAAGAAATCAATACATTACTTCTCAATAAGATGCTGCAGTAGAAATATTCCTGGTATGAAGTGCAGTGTTTTCAAGTATTCCTCCCTTTTTGCCAGAAAGAATTTCAGTGAGCTCTGCTGAAGCAGGTTATTACCAACGCTCAGACAGAGCCACTCAACTGAGCATCCTGCCTTACTCAAGCTTGCACTGAATCTTTTCTGAAATACACGTGGATTTGAATGATACACTTAAATGCCATGTCTAAAGAAATTGGCAAAAAGATGAGACTGAGCTGGAGCCCACACATTCCAGGGCAGGAGCTGCTCATGTGCTGAGCTTCCAGATAATGAAGCTCTAGACGTTTATAAATCAACAGATGTTCAGATCAGGCTTTTCCCTCCTATCAGTGTTCCCTCCAGACTCAGTGCAACAGGCAGCAGAGAGAGAAGTGCAGGAGTCGGAGCAGCAGCTGTGGTTCTTCACTCAAAATTTTGGATCTTCAAAAAATTGATGTCTGATGGAGAGGGTGATGAAGAGGGTTTTAAAGTTCCCACCCATGTCCAGTCCAGTAGTCAAGTGCATTTAGTATTGGAATGGAAAAGAACAAAGCATTGCATGAAGATCAAACAATTGCAAGGAAAACCTGTCAGTCCTGCCCTCAGCAGTGGGCTGGAACTGGATGATCTTTAAGGTCCGTTCCAACCTAAGACATTCTATGATTATATGATTCTGTGGTTCTGTGATTCCATGAAAACTTCCCATTGATCCCTGTTTCCTAGCTGGCCCACAGCCCGTGTGAAGCTGTTACCAGAAGCACAGGTCTTTCCGTGCCTGGAGTGTTTGGAAAACCATACTTTAGGCTGAAAAGGCCCAAAGTGTCTCTCTGACACCTTCTTATGTTAGTTTTTCTGCCCACTTGTGGATCCACTCCTGTCATAAACTCCCATTTCTTCTCTACACAACCATTCTCCCAGGACTCTCAGTTCTGCTGCACAACTGCAGAGCAAAGCAAGGGCTGTCAAACCCCTCACCCTTTGCACCCCATGAGGCACAATGCCCCCCTGCAGCACTGCATCACTTTGCCTGATGCAGCAGGAAAGCGAGGAAGCCCCAGGAGTGCCTCCAGCTAATTGCACTCCGAGAGGGACACGAGTCTCTTTGGCCCCCCAAGGCAATCAGCTTATGCCCTGCAGCATGCAGGTTGATATCCCTTGTAACTAAAGGGACTTAATGACTTTGCATAAGCTTTAAGTCGAGCAGCATAACCTATGAGCCCAGCACCGGTTGCCAAAGCATTCAGTGTGACAGGGTGGGTTTGCATAACCTCCTTGGAATGGGTTTCATGCCTTTCCTTCACTCTGGCATTGCAGGCTGGTCCTGTTTTCCACCGGGGAACACACATACCTCACCCACCAGTGAGAGCAGCTTTAGAAACAGCCAGCTGCTAGCAGACCATCTCCCACAGAGTAAAGATTAACTTGGAAACTTTGATCTCTTGGAAGGCAGGAGCAGGTCATGCCTGTGCAGGGAAGCAAGCTGCAGCACCTGTGAGAGCTGTGCTGTGCTTCTTTTGGGTCCTCGTGCATTTTGGATCATATGTGACCATAGGAAGGGTCTGCAACTGAATAACCAGTAAAATCACTGAACCATTAAGGCTGGAAAAGACTACTAAGACCATCTGGTGCATCCATCAACTCATCCCCACCATGCATTAACCGTGTCCCTGAGTGATACATTTTCCCATTTCCTAAATGCCTCAAGGGATGGTGATGCCATCACCTCCCTGGCTAGCATGTGCCAATTCCTCACCAGGTAAATAAAAGAAAGATGTTGTATGTAAACTTCTCTGGAAGTCCTGCCACCAGTTAATAAGGAACGTGCTGTATACTCTGGGGCAAACATTGCAGTTCAGCACACAGGCAGGAGATGGCTTGCTAGCAGAGAGGTGAAGAACTTGGGGGTTTTGGTGGAATCCTTTAAGGGAATGGTTTCCCAGGCTAAAAATACAACGTGCATTGCATGTGTGCTCCAGATGATAACATGCCCTGCTTTCATTATACCACAGCCATCGCCTTGGCTGAGTAATGTAATGTCATTGCTGGAAAAGCCATTTTGCCTTGAAGTTCAAAGACTGTCACTATCCAAGATGGTTGCAGGCAAAAATCTGGCCGATTGTAAGAGCATCAGAACCATCAATTCCCTCCTCCTTTGGCGAGGAGCCCAGACAAAGGTTCCCACTGAGAGCTGTCAGCAGGATCAAGGGGTTCCCGAGGAAAAGCAGTAGTTGTGCCTGCCCTCGTGGCTCCTCCGTGCCGGATGTCAGCTGTGGGTGGAAGCTGATCAAATAGCCTTCCTCGCTCTCCAGCACAGCCCTGTGCCACCACCTCCCCGGCTGCAAGGCTGAGATTGTGCAGAGGAAAGGGCAGACACTTGGTTTGCTGCCATGGAGGCCACTTTGCAGTGAGTTGCAGGAGAAATGCCTTGATTTAGTGCAATTAAGCAAGCAACTCATACAAGATGCAGCTGAATATCTGAACTCCTGTAGGGCTTTATTGGGAATTACATATATGTGGAGGGGCAGTTTTCATCCCTTTGGCTCACCAGCTCAAATAATAGACACTGTTTTCTATGGAATTACTTCTGGTTTGCACATATGTAAATTCACAGCCTAACCCTGCCTTGTAGCCTTTGTGCTGCCTGTTCCTCCACTAGCTTTTGTATTGTAATTATTCATCTTGTTTGTAATAAGGGGTAGCAAGACACAAGCAACAATTCAACTGCAAAATGCCCTTGGCAGCTGTAAATAACTTCCCTTGAATTTGGGGTCAAATCTTCTTCCCTTATTCTGAAAGAACTGCCAGAGAGTAACTGGACATTTTTGTCTAAGAGCTGTAGGATTCTGTCCTGAGATGTAAGAATGCTCCCGGTTCTAGCACTTCTGTTTGAAATCTATTTTATTTTATTAGCCTTTCTTAAGGAGCTGAAATGAAAAATGGAGAGCATCGTATCTCTGTGGCGTTTAACCTTTGTACAAAGCCTAATTAGCAAAGTTTCAATGGTTCTTTGGAGAAATGAAGCTTCAGTGAAGTGTTAATCCCTATGATGATGACAACAACAAAGGTCAGATGAAATCAGGTTATTTTGAATTTCAGCCATTAGCCCACCCTTTTTTTTAGGCACCCTATAAATGTAATCGACTCCAAATTATGAACCCAAGTAAAATGCCTCTCCTGCGTTTTTCTTTTTTGCAGGGTTTCTTTTTTAAGAGCCTAAAGTCATAAAATTTAAAACTGCTCTCTGCGAATTCTTCCAGCTTCATTCCCCCATCTCTGTGGACACGCTGCCAGCAGGATCCGGCGATTTTATTCCCTCTTGAGAAAACGCACAAAGTATCGGTGCCAGGCTGCAGAGAGGAGGCTGTTTGGTGAAACAAGCCCCACAGCCTCGTTTCTTCTCCCCCCTTCTCTCTCCCCCCCCCCTCTCCCCCCACCGCTTCTCCTCCTTTTGTTCGCGTCTTGCTCCCGGCTGGGCGCAGTATCGCACCTCGTTGGAAGGACAAGATCCTCCTCTGCTGGCCATGAGCAATACGGCACGGCGGCGAGGGGCCTTGCTACGCTGCTGTGCTCCCCCACCAGGCCTCCATTCTCCGTTCTCCGCCTGTAGCCCCTTTCCTACACCCCCACCTGCATCCCCTCCTGCAAACCACTTCTCACATCCCACATCCCATATCCCCTGTTGCACCATTTGCATGCTATATTCCACCCCCCTCATTCTGCATACCCCATCCCATGTCCTCCATTCCATCTCCCTCATACTGCATCCCACCTCCCACATTCCCCATCCCACATCCTCCATCTCACCTGCCCTATTGCCCATCCCATGCCCTGCAGCCCCCTGCATGGCACATAGGAAAGGGCAAGTTCATGCCTGCAGGAGGGAAAGAGAGGGGCTTTTTGCTGGCCTCAACCAAAAAAGATTCATAAAAAGATTCATAAAAAGATTCATGTATGGGACCAAAAGATGAAATTTGGCTTTGTGTCAGCTAGCAGAGGTGGAGGTTGTCTGTAGCAGTGTGATCTGGTGGATACCCCTCAAGGGAGGAGTTAAGTCTCCTTGTTAGGAGACCAGATCTACCTGGGATTTTATCCCCTACAATTCTGAATTACATATGGGAGGGGGAAAGAGAAACAGCACAGTGAAGCTGTGATAAAGGTTGGGTTGATCTCCTGGGACCATTTGTTCGAAGGAACATTTGTGCTGTGTCAGCACGTAGTGGCCTTAATCCAAAACTAAGAATGCAAATCTAGGGCTTAGCCACCCTGAAGTACAAAGGAGTAATGGATGCTGATGGAAACCTGTATATTTTCCAGGGCAGCAGGTTATTGCAAGAGGGAAGTCAGGTCATCTTGCTGTCTTGTAAGCAGCTCTGTCCATGGGAGAAGGTTAGGAGGGGGACAGGTTTGAGGAAAATAGTAGTAATAATTGGAATAATAATGTGCTTAGGCTCCATTCCTTCTCTTCTTTACATCTGAGCAACAATGCATGCATATCTCATATAGCCCATGCTGGCACTTAGCCCTTCCAGGCAGAGTAAATGGCTGCCCTGAGTGCAGGGGAGTTTTAGCAGTCTCCTTGAAGTCAAAAGATTCTGCCCGCAGACCCACTCAGCAAATGACACAAAGGAGAAGTATGGAAAGCTGAGGAGGGAAACAAGGTGCAGGTATACAGAGGTTGCACCATAAAGCATAGAAGCCAAGCAGAAAAACCCCACTCCCTGCCTCCAGGGGGTCGTGAGCAGGCCTCAGGCAACCTCAGGTGTATGTGCTGGGGGTAGCAGCAGGTGTGAGTTGTTCTGAGTAACGTGGCAAGGTTCTTATTCACTGCTGCTTATTCATTTGCTCCCAGTTGCAGCCAGGTTTTAGCTAAGAATGTTGGCATAGCAGCTCCATGTAATTTCTTATATGTCCACTGCTAGCACAGGTGCCCTCACTGCAGCTGGGTAGTCCTGTCTTCAGCTGGGATTTACAGCAAAATGGGATGCCTGCTGACACCTCTGTGTGGGGAAATGAATCTTGATGTGGTTTTGGTACGTTTTCTTTCTGCTTCACTTGCTCCTCAAAGGCTGAAATGCTGTTTTCCTCCTCCTCCTATTCCCTTTTGTCATTTGACCTTAATCAGAAGCCAAAAAGGAAAGGCTGGAGCCCCATGTCAGAGGGCGAACGTATGATATTTCCTCGTGGGAAGGATGTGCCCTGGTAGCTGGCTGCATTGCTGGTAGATAAATGCCATCACTTAATAAGCAAAGAAGTAATTAACTTACTTAGGATCAGTGTTTTACAAGCAGACTGCAACTTTGGCTGGATGCTCAGAGAATCTGAAGTTCCCCTGTGGGTTGTTGGGAGCAATATGGTTTTATCAGAAAAGCCACATAAATCTGAAAGGACTCTTAAAAGTACTGCTTGGGCATCTCTGGTGTGGGCAATGGATTTATCTGGATGTCCAGCACTGGAGTGAAGTCACCTAACTACAGGTTGTGCTGTAAGCCAAGACCCAGCTTGGATTTTTTTCCAGAAACTGACTCTGCCCTTCTTTATCCTGTGCAGCCTTCCTGGTCCTCCCTGACCAACCTGCTCAATGGTAAGTAGCTTTGATTTCTTCCATTAAATTCTGCATATAAGCCTGAGATGTTGGGAGCCTGGTCCATCGAGCTCCATGGCTGATGGTTAGTGTTGAGTTTTAACTTCATGCGCAGCTTTGTAGCACTTAAGGCAACAGCTGAGATCAAATAGGAAGTTATTGTGCTTTGGACAGGTGGCATGGTCTGCACTCCCAGGCCTTCCTGCTTCTCACATTGGTGCAAAAGGCAACTATGTCATTTTGTTGTCATTTTGGTCCAGCCTGTGAGTCTTGTGGCCCTGTATCCATACAGCTCTGGTTCTTTCCCCAGATTAATTCTGCTCTCCTTATAGAATGTTCCAGATCAGTATTTAGTTTCCACATCCTCAGCTGCAACTAAAAATGGGCTATTTTACTGTAGTGAAACAGCCCCAAAGCTGTTTGAAAGGAGTGAGGGTTTGGCTGTTCGCTGTTCTTATTCCTTTTGCAATTTCTTTCTGAAGTCATAAATGCTCGCAGCCAAAGCTTTTGTGGAAGGGAGGAAATACCAAGAGGTCTATGTAGAAGCAAGTGGGAGACCTACTGGTATTTGAAGTACCATTGCAATTTCAGCTTCATAAAAATAACTTTGTATTATTCACAGACCCTCAGACAGAAAGTATTTAGAGAGGTGGCAGGAAAACTCATCCTGCTTAAATTAGGCCAGATTTCAGTTCGTCCCCAGAGGTTCAGAGAGCTTGAATAAATGCCGGGTGCCCTCAGTGTTGGCAATAAGCTTTAAATTTGCACATCACTCATCTCGATAACTGCAGTCCACCAAAGTTACCTTTCCATTCGGGTCACTCGATGGCAACCTAATGCATCACTTTCCCACTTGGAACATTAGTCATGACTTGATCCAGGCAAGGTTTTGAAAACAGTGTGACTGCCAGCATTGAGATATCTGTTCTCCCTATAAGAGACAATCTGTGTAAGCTAACGAACAAGAGGATATTGATCAGAAATCCATTACGTGATTGACAGCTCTTGGCAATGTGAAAAAGTGCAGATGAAAGCTTGAGCAGTTTAAAAGATCACCCAGACCTCAAAGCTGATTTGAAGCTTTAAAAGTCAATCTCTTGCCTATCAATTATGGGGGGATTTTTTTTTTTTTTTTGTACTACACAGAAGAAAGTTATTCTTTGAAAATTTGCATGCAGGATGTCTAATTTAATTTCGTGTAATAGTCACATTTTGGTGACAAATGTCAGATCACTGCTTTTTAAAGCATGTCAAGGTTTTCCAGCACTTACAGAGAATGAGCACTCTGATTTAGTAATGTGTTTAAATCAACCAGTGTATCAGATTTGGTGTGTTAATTATGTACTCAGATTAAAAAAAAATGTTGCTTTTGCTTTACTAAATCCATGGCTTGTTATGAATAATTAAAAAAAAAAAAAAAAAAAAAAAAAAAAAAAGGAATGGGAACACTTCTTAAGTAAGAGATGTGGAAGCCAAATAGTTATTTAGTGATATAGCAGTGATAAACAGGAAGACATCTTTGTTTGATGTACCCAAGTCAGGGGAGTCTGTTCTTTATTCTTATGGTGCTTAATAAATGATTGATTCATTGCTAAGTGATGGCACCAACACAGCAAAACGAAGCGACGGTATCGTCATTTCTGAGCACTGTCCTTACAGTTGTAGATGTTTCTGCAATGGCTTTGCTGTCTATGCTTGTTTGGAGCAGTTGTTTTTCCTCTGTCAATTCAGCAAAGCCCTTGCGCTCCTGTACCGCATGCTGGGCATGTCTGCTGGGTGCTCTCAGCAGCCCCAGCTCCTCCGCTCATCCTTCACAACTTTTACCAGCTATGTCTTTTAGAGAAGAAAGATGGAAAAAAGGCTACCCTGTCTCTCCGAATAGCTCCTTAAAGCACCTGTGGAACAAAAGCTGACGTTTCCTGCTAAGATTCTGAAAATAAACAGGGGAAACAAAACCAGGCTCCTCCACAATATTCCCTCAAACTCGAGTCCGCCTGCAGAATCTCCCCTCAGACGAAGTGAGCTTGCAGGTTGCATTTCAGGCAAAACCTTTTTGTTTTCCTTTCTTAACTACATCGCATTAAATTTAATTTTGTTCACGGTAGACAATGTCCTTATCTTCCAACGAGATCCTTCTGTTCCTCAGCACAGCGCACACTTCTGCAACACTTGCACACTGTCGAGACTCGGCTCCTGTGGAAATAATGAGCTGAGTAAAAGGAGTCTTGACTTGACATAGCAATAAATGAGGTGAAACTTTTCTTTTTTTTTTTTTTTTTTTTGTGAGAAACGAGAGTTGGCATGTAGGAAGGGGGGAAAAAAAGAAGAAAAAAAAGATGATTCTATTTTAATATGAAATATAAAACACCCATTGTACAAAAGTGGAATTTTTTTATTTTTTTTTTTTCAGAAGCAAAGAAAGAATAAAGATAAAGGCTGCGAGGGAATGAATGAGGAGAGAAAACTAAGATAATGTAGTCGATAATCAGTTCAAGGCTGAGCTTTATCCATGGGGCCATCGGTCCGGCCCTAGGGGAGAGCTTTTTAAAATCTCTGCACACTGTTTAGCTGTGCTCATTATCATAGCTTGTCTTTGACATGTCAGCGGGGCTTCCATGGGTAGCAGTGTGCCCATGCAAATCAGCCGCCCCAAACATGGACTGGTGGAGCTCCAGGCTCTCCATCAAGCAAGCATGTGCTTTGTGGCACGTCCCCCAGCACAGTGGGGATGTTGCTCCCTCAAAGAGGCTCTGAGCAAGACAAAGGAGGCCTCTTCTTGTACAGTTGCCTCTTCCCAGGACACTTAGAATCATGAAATCGTTAAGATTGGAAAGGACACCTAAGATCTTCACATCCAGCTGTCCACCTACCATCAATATTGTTCACAAAACCATGTCCCTAAGTACCACATCTCTATGTTTCTCAAAAACGATGGTGACTTTGCCATCTCTTTGAGCAGCCTGTGTCAGTGTCTCACCATTCTTTCAGAGATGTTTTTCAGCCTGAATCTCCCTGGTGCAACTTGAGACCATTCCCTCTCAGCAAATTGGGCTCGTCCATGTCTGCAAGGGCATTACCACCAACTGAACAAAGAACAGCCATGTCCCCTCCCAGCACCTCAGTAGATGCCCCCAGCTGGGGACAGTCATGCACAAAGGTGGCTTTGTAGCAATTATAACCCTTCTGCATTTCCTTTCCCTACAGATGAGGCCGATGAGTATTACGAGTACTATGATGAATACACGCAGGTGGAGGAGGAACCCTCTGAAGTGAATTGGCTCTTGGGGGAACCCGACTGGATAGGCCTATCCCCTCACCACAGAAGAATCCAGCAAGGTGCTCCTGGGGGTGGGCAGGGGGTGAGGAAGGGGTGAAATCCCAGCCCCAGTATGCAGTGCGTGGCAGGGCTCGGCTGCCAGCCTGCCTGCAGAACGCCTGCTTCAAAGGGATGAGTGGGGAGGGTTGTTTGCTGTGTTCTCTTTTGTGTTTCTCTTGTAAGGAGCCTGTGTTTTATCTCTAGGTTTCACAGGATGGATTCTGATCATGCAGAACATTTCTGATTGCTACTACAAAAAAACACAGGCTTATTTGTCTATAGACACTGTAAGACGTAATTGCTATTTTCATGGGATGTGCGTTCTGTATTTGTGCTGGGAACCAAATGTAGAGCAGGTTTCCCTTTTTCTTTTTTTCTTTTTTTTTTTCCTTTTTCTAGTTTACTGAACTTTAGGAGAGCAGGAAAGCATGCCCTGGGCTGCTGTGGGATCACAAGGGGAGAGGTGGGACAGCAATAACCTTCTCCTCTGGATGGCTTTTCCAAGGGAGTTTTAGTGCTAGGTTGCAACCAGGGCAATACCATGTCTAGGCAACTTCACACCAATGGCACAGAGGCACGTGCCCAGGGCAAGCTCTGGTTCTTAATGGATCTGCTTCTAGTACGATGTCACATGTGCTCCATCACAGGCTTGTAAAGGGAGATGGGAATTCCTGGGCTCTAAGCCTTACAGTGTACAGGAAGTTCCACAGCAATCCATAGCAGCTCGTGCCACTGCTGGGCCAGCCATCAGCACAAGCATGTGTTACGGTGGACGCTTGCCCAACCTTCTGCACAGCCCTATGGTGGCACCTGTCACACAAAAAGCACACACAAGAAAAAATGCTGGTGAGAAGCTGAAAGCAAAACTAAAAGCCCTCTGTCCCTACCCTAGAAGATCTGTGCTCCCCCAACCCCTGCAAGAACAACGGTCGATGTGAGATGAGAGGAAGCAATTTCACCTGCCTCTGCTCCAGGCCCTACACTGGGGATACCTGTGAGAAAGGTAATCACTTCTTTGCTGACTGATATTCTTGTTCTCACAGCTGAGGCAACTCAAGCAAGTACAGGGTTTTATAAACCCACTCTTCCCTGGAGGGAGAGATTTAGCAACCCTCTTCAGCCGTGTCAATAGATCCAGGCTGGAGTCTGTCTAAAGCAGCATCAGCATTGTGCACTTCAGGTGTGCAGAAAGCACACTTCTGTCTTCTGCCACCCCATGGCAGCCTCCAAAGGAGGGCTGCAAGGATGGTGAAGAATCTATGGGACAAGGTGTGTGAGGTTTGCTCAGCCCACAGCAGAGGAGGCTGAGGGGAGTCCTCATGGTGGCCCACTGCTCTTCAAGGGGGGTGGATCAGCAGTGTGGAGCTCTGCTCTCTGGTGACAGTGACAGGGCCTGAGAGAATGGCATGGAGCTGTGTCTGGGGAGGGGTAGGTGCAGAGTAAGTAAAGGCTCTGCACCAGAGGGTAATGAGCAAGGAACAGGCTGCCCGGGCAGCGGGCATGGCACCTAGCTGCAGGAGTTCAAGAAGCATTTATTTGGACAACACTCTCAGACATACGATGTGATTTTTTGGGTGGACTCAATCCTTGGTTTCTTCCAACTCGGGATTTTCTATCATTCTCTGAGGCAGGAGAATCAGCCTGTGAGGGTACAGCACTCCTGCGTGTGGATGAAGTTGTTTTTTTTTTTGTTTACCTGCAGTGGAGGACACCTGTGTGGACAACAGCTGTGTTGGAGGAGACTGCCTTGTTACATTAACCAAACCTTACTATCAGTGCAGCTGTAGCCATCCCTACAAGTTACCATACTGCCAGCAAGGTGAGTGCAGCTCAGCAGGCACAGATCCCACATTGTGGGCTGCTGTGGTCCTGAGCCTGTGTTGGCTGCAGGTCCCATCTGCAGGGATGATGCTGGGTGATCCGTGCTCTGTGTGATGGGTGGATCACTAATGAACCCCGTGCTGGCAGGAATTTTGAAGTTCTTACAAGGCTAAGTGAGGGCTTTCCCTGATTTTCAGTGGGGATGTGAATGAGGCTATAGTGTGTCCAGTGGAGTTACAGCGCTGTTCTCTCATTTTCACCTTGACAGCTTCTTCACAATGCAGGCCAAACCCATGCAAAAATGGAGGAATCTGTATACGGCACAGAATGAGAACAAAATTCACCTGCAAGTGCCCTGAACCTTACCGAGGGAGGTTCTGTGAGATTGGTAAGTGTCGTGGCTCCAGGGGAGAGGCTAGGGGTTGAACCTCCACAGCTCACCCTCACCTCACAGTCAGCTTGACGACGTTTGTAACATAACACTGATTGCTCTATGTTGCAGGTGACCTTTGCACCATTCTCCATACAGTTTAGGATTATAACCCTGCAACCATACTTTTGGCACACCCCTTGCCCTATCGTGACAGTAGCTCTGTACCCAGCTCTGCCTCATCCCTCCAGTACCGTTTCTTGCGTAGGTCCCCAGAGGAGAGATTCTGCTTTGTCATTGAGAAATGTCTTAGCTGCTACGTCTTACCCAGTAAAGAGGCTTTTGGGCACTTGAAGTCAGTGGAACTTATGCTGCAGTGATGTTGGGACATAACTCGTTTCTGGCCTATCCAGGATAAGAACGATCTTCATGTAACCCTGTTAGTCCTTCTGATCCTTTGTGAAATTAATGTTAGGGAAGGAAGAGAGGGAAAAAGAACCACTTTAGGCAAGGAATGACAGAGAAGGCTCTTTCATATCAACATGGTTTTACAGGACCGGATGATTGTTATGAAGAGGACTCCTTTTATTACAGAGGAAGAGTGAATCAAGCAGAGAATGGCAGGACTTGCCTGCACTGGAATTCCCATTTGCTCTTAGACTTCCCTACTAATGCATTTATGAAGGATGCTGAGCTTTTTGGCATTGGGGAACATAACTTCTGCAGGTAACATTTTTAAGAGAGCCAGTTGTGTCACATAGATCTTTTGAATACAAATTGCTCCCATGAATTTGCTAAAATCATGATATTAAAATGGCATTGTTACTGAAGTGAAGATTCCAGAAATGGGCATAATTTCTTTTGTTTTTCTTAGGGTGAAATAGTTTGGGGACAGTAAAATGGCAGCAGATACAACTCCATTATTTTAGGAATTGTCTTTATCAAATCTTATGAAGAGCATCTCTTGCAGCTTGGCTGTCCTGTAGAAGCACAAGTGTGCTCTCATTAGCATTCTTGGCTTCCTTGTGCAGCTTCAAGGAGATTTCTGCACTTTGGCTGATGTTCTCAACCATTCCTTTCAGAAATCCTGATGATGATCAAAAGCCCTGGTGCTTCATCAGAAAAAATGGCAAAGTGAAATGGGACTTCTGTGATGTTTCACTGTGCTCTGAAACAGGTAGAGTAATGCTTTAGGAGAGAGCTGGTTGTCCATGCATAGGTGGTCCTGATGAGCAGGTCACTGCCTGTTACTTAACTCCTGTCTGATATTATTTCTGCAGTGCACGTTGCTGTTTCTTCCAACACAGATAAGGAGATCCAAGAGCAAGAAAATGAAATGTTCAAAACCTGTGGGCAACCAGAAAGTCAAAGGGGACTCAAGAGAATCTATGGTGGAACTAAAACTACAGCTGGCAAGCACCCCTGGATGGTATCTCTGCAGAGAAAGTCTTCTTCTAGAAAAGTAACACACATCTGTGGTGGAGTGCTAATTAAATCATGCTGGGTTCTTACTGCTGCACACTGTGTTGAGTATGTGCATGTCCTTTGCCTGGGGCAGATAAACATATGAAAAACAAAGTGGCCATTAAAGACAACTTGAAATTGAACTGATTCACATTCCAAATTGTTTCTGGGTATCGAAAAGAAAACATATGTGAAAATATGCACATACATTTTAAAAAATGGTGCTTGTTGGAATTACAAATTAAACTTACATCCCAGTCAGCTAAAATGATCTAAAACATAGTTTAGTGGAGAAATATTGATGGTGGGTGGGCTGTTGCACTAGATGATCTTGGAAGTCTTTTCCAAACTTGGTCATTCTATGATTCACTCATCATCACAGCTGCAATAATAGACTATTTGCACGCTGCTGTTCTCCCTCAAAATAAATTAAAAAAATTAAATGTTAAAAAACTAGGTTAAAAAAAAAAAAAAAGCAGCAACAAAAATGTTCATGCAGCATTAATAATGTTTTATTTCATGATTGCAACTATTTAAGAGTGCATGGACTGTCCAGCACTGCAGCTTTCTCTTCTAAGCTCTCTTACTACTAACTTTGGAAATCTTTCCATTGTGCCTTACATCAGGAAACAGTATCTTGGCTTCCAGATAGTTAAGCTGCAGGTTTTCACCACTGTTGCACAACATCTGTTCTGCACTACCACAATGGATAATGTAGTTTACTTGACTCTTTGCAGATGCCAAGCAGAAAATCTCCAAGTGGCCCTGGGAAAGCAAAACCTTGATAAGAAAGAAGATCAAGAGCAAATATTTGATGTGGAGAAGGTCATCATGCATCACAGATACAGAATGGAGGATGATGTCCCATACAATGATATTGGTAAAGTCTTCTTATTTAATGAGTTGTCTGAAAGCACCTCGCTGGAACTGAGGTCAGTATAAAATATCCCTCTGAGAATGTGAACTGGAAATAAGTAAGCCACATTCTGGCTTACACCCCTGTGAATCATAGAAGGAAGGCAAATCATGATGGGCAGAGAAAAATTGTGTGGGGGGAGTAAAAAAGTAAAGGGACAGGTTCAGCATGTAGTGCAAGCTGTATGCCAGTTGCTTGGAGCCTTGCACAGAGTTGTGGTACGGACTGACAGTGATGGTAGGGATTAAAAGCAGTTTTAAATATTTTTTGTGGTGTTTTTTCTTGTCTCCAGCGTTACTTAAGTTGAAGCCGACTGGTGGTCAATGTGCCAACGAAACAAAGTATGTGAAAACAGCTTGTCTGCCAGATTTTGAATTTCCTGTTGGGACTGATTGCTTCATTTCAGGATGGGGCAAGACAGAGACAGGTATGTGAGCTCTCAAGGCTTGCTGTAGTTTGGCTGGTAGCTTGATGGCAGTGTGAGTTGGTGCTTTTAGTGGCAATTGCTAGACACAAATGCAGGGCTAAGCACAGAGTGAAACCAAGGCCCAGAGTTAAAAATTAAGGACAGCAAACCCTCCTTTGGGAATGATTCATTGGCAGAAACCTCCAACTGCTAGACACACAGAACTTGTCAGAGTTCTGAAAAAATCCCCAACATGTATTTTTGTTGTTGTTGCTTGTCATCTGATACACAATGTCATGGTTTCATCTGGAGCCAGCCATTGAAGCAAGATGTATCAAGAGAGAAGCTATAGTGCTCTTATGTTCCAAGAAAGGACCAAGGCAGACTGGCGTTTCTGCGTGCTTTTTCAGCCCATTGGGTCAGATGAAGTTTTTCAGAAGCAGCATCTGGATCTTCAGATGCACTGAAAAAATAATAAAAAATCCAAAGCTTTTCAAGTTCAACTAGCTCTGTCCGAAACCTTTCTTGCCCACAGTAAATCCTGAGGGGAGAAATTACTATGCTTTAGAAAAGATAATGGCAATTTTCTGAAAAATGCATTTTCTCATGTCCTGATTGATGTGTTGCTGTAAAGCAGCAGAAGGAAAATGTGTCACTGAGGCTGCAGTAGGTGTCCTAGTGCTTTGTGACTGATACAGCCTGATACAGTACGTAGGGCCAAATTCTTCCTTCTGATGTAAGTCTCATTGAAGTCCACAAGAGACAAGCAGGTATATTTGATCAGAAAGCACGAACAGAATTTAATAGACATTTTTTAAAAGTTCCAAATAAAAAGTATCTTAAAAAGGATACAGAGAATTTTTGTATTATTTTTTTTTTCCTGCAAAGAATATCAAGTACCCTGTAAATGTTCAAACTAGATGGCTCCTTCTTTGCTCAAAGCTATTATTAGCATTTCAGGAAATCACTGCAGAAATGGAAAATTTCCTGAAACTCAAGCAGAACCAAACTTATAAACCATCTTTAGTTATCTACAGATGGTAGTGCTTTGATACTCTGGCTATCGCCTTTAGATGTCAAGTTATGTCTTTAGATTCACTGTAATTAATCGTTGCCTTTAAATATTGCATGATTTTCAGTTTTCATCTGTTTCATTAGCCCACGTATTAAAACATCTAATGGCACCAGCCTGAGAAGTGCTGAGCAGCTCTAAGTACTCCTGTACTTAGTAGTGGGAGCTGCAGACGGCCAGCACCTTTGAAAAGCAGGATATCATTGCTACGTGCAGAGCTGATCTGAGCCAGATTCTTGATGTGTGTGACTTTGGTTCTGTTCAGGCAAGAGCTCAGTGTCCTTCATGAAGCTTTCAGGCTCAGACTTAATGCAGACAGATACTTCTTTTCTTTCCAGGCTACACAATGAGCCCCTTCCTGCTCTTTGCCCCTTCCATCCATGAGGCGAGCAAATTTGTGTTTTGAAAAAAGACATGTAACAGGAATGTGAGGGAGGTGACTTAATTTTTTCGGTGTACTGCCTTGCAGATGACAGTTCCCCTAAGCTGTTAGATGCCAGTGTCAAGCTGATTTCGCAGAAGCAATGCAATGCACCCAGAGCTTATGATCAGAGGCTGGATGAAAGCATGTTTTGTGCAGGAAATCTTCGGAGAGGTAGAACTGATTCTTGTCAGGTCTGTTGCTTTTTCCATATTTGAACACTAATTTTTTGTGTAAATAGGCTGTGGAGAGCAAAAGCTCTGGCAGAGGACTGCATGTGTGTCCGTTTCTTCCATCAGTGTATTATTTCAACAGCCACTGTCTTCCCTCCATACAGTTTGAGATGTATATCCCTGGAGCTAATGTCATCACTGTCAGCTACAGGCAGATCTTTGGGAGCTCAAGAATAGCCTGGGAAAGGTGGCTTCTGAGGCAGATTGTCATAGTAACTTTGAAAACTTGCCTTTTTCCTCTCACTTCTATTACAGCCTCTATTATGAGAAACAATTCTAATCTGATTTTTGCTACCAGAGCTTATCCTTACTAGAGAAGGCAGGACTGATATTTCCTTGTAGCTAGTGAAAATGTGAAGCTGGTTCATGTAAGCCTGGTGAGGAGTTTGAACAGTGCTTCCTGTGGTGAAAACTGCAAGCATACTTACTTAGACTAGAAATCACCAATAAAACTGAAAATGAGATCAGCCAACTTGGAGTGATAATTGTCATTATTTGAGGGGACCAGTGTGAGGAAGGTCAGGTGTTTTCTTTTATGCTGAGGATCACATTTTTATCTTTCTTAGCTCAGGCTCTGAACACCTGGTACTTCCATGCCTGGGAAATTTCATTTGACTTTTTCAGATACATTTTGCAGCCTTAAACAGAAACTTATGTCTAAAGAAGTCTAGTATTGTTTGACCTGGTTCCAGTACTGCAAGCTGGCTTGGGAATTGGTCAGAACCTTTTGGTACACCTGCTAGGAGAAAAGAAAAAAAACAACAAACACCACTCCTGCCTCTAAGTCTTTTGATAAGAGAAGGCAAATCTTACATTGGTGAATGATTTACTTCTTATTTTAAACTAATCTTGTGTTTTTTCTCATCAGGGAGACTCTGGAGGTCCTCTAACTTGCGTAGAAAATGGTTTCTATTATGTATATGGCATTGTGAGCTGGGGTGATCAGTGTGGTTTAAAAAACAAGCCAGGAGTTTATACCCAGGTGACATCATTTCTTCGTTGGATTAAACACAAAATTCAAACTGAGTCATCGGATCAGTAGCTGACAGCTTTCATTTGGTGAAGGGTAAGTTTGAGATATTTATTTGTTCTTAACCGTACACAAAACTCTCCTTTAGCCAAAATTGTTATTGAAGGCTTCTCATGGTCCTAGCTGGGTGTTCTGGATCACTATCTTAAAAATAACCTTTCAGTGTTTTCTAGAAGCTCAGTGACAATTTTTCTGCTTGGGGGCTTTGAAATAAACCCTCCTTTTGTAGGCAAAACAGCTTGGAAACTAAAGCAATACCAATTTTTATCCACCTCAAAGCCATTGGTTTGTGCTCCGAAAGCCAATGACATTTTTTCACATACTTAAAATTAATAATTTGCCTGTGTTTGGAAGACTGGAGCCAGTAGAATCATGTGAGGAGGGAAGATCAGGCAGGAAAATTATTTTTAAAAGCCCTTCTGTAGGGCAAGTGACCCTAAATTCCATCAGTGATGAGTTCCAGGTTGAAAAGTAAAAAATAAAGTAAATCACTAGTAGAAATATCTTATTTACTTCTGATGAGAGGAGGATTATATATTATTCTCCAGCACTACCATGACATATATGTGCTTAACTGCAATTCATATGTAGAGGGTATTAAATTCTTTTTTTTTTTTTTTTTTAAATCTAAATCTATTGGCTAATTTTTGTTGTTAACAAGTTTTGCAAGTAGAATTATATATTTTTCTGCCCAATGATTCTGTAACTCTATATAGAAAACTGGAGAACAAGGGATTGACATTAAATCAGAATACAAACAGTAGACATGTTTGCCAGCAGAGTCAATTATTTAAAATAATACCTCCTTCATCTGAATACCAGGCTTTATAAACTTCTCTAAGAAGCTTCCTAATCTGTCAATAAGCTGTTAGTAGTAGTTTCTAAGGAGCTAATTTTGATTGTTTTTGTTTTTCTTTTGGAAATTTGAGAAAAGAAAACAAACGAACAAAAAACCCAACCTGAATGGGATGTGAATATGTCCTGTTAATCAAGAATAAATTCTGTTCTGTTGTCCACCAACAGACGTGTCTTTGGTTAGTCAGTAACTTTGTGTCCACTGGCTGTTGTCTTCTTCATCTGTTAAGCCACCCAAATCTTGTTTTTGTATTCTCTTAAATCAGCGGTGCCAATGATACATAAACATACACAGTGGTGCCACGGAACATATAAATCTCTAAAGAGTAGAAGTATGGAACCAGATTCATCAAATTTATTCAATACAAATGATTTTATATTCTACTATCAGGTTCATTCATCTGTAGTACAAAGCTGAGCCTGCCAGTCATCTAGTATTAATTTCATTTACAGCTTTAAATAAATATCAACCTCTGTAATGCATATAGTGATAAATCACAAAATATCCACACAAGTTAGAAACATCAATTATTAGTTGCAATGTCTGGTTTGTTTTTTAAAACAAAAAATTCTTAGATGTCATCTATTGTGCTTTCCAGAAAAATGGAAAAGCTTTAGGCTTTGTAGGATGAGATGAAAATCTATTTGTGTTTTGTCATGTTCCTGTTCACTACTTGTACAGATGCATTTTCCTTCTCTTGACTTGCAGAATTTCCGAAGCATCAGGATTAACTGTGACCTGCTGAGATCCTTCCGGCCCCACTTGGTCCTGTAAGATCAAACACAACTACATCATGAAGATAGCTGAAAGCAGAAAGCTAAGATCTTATTCTATAAATATATTTACTAATTAAAAGTTACCTCGACTGGAAACAACTGGACAAAGTCTGAATTACTGCTCTGTACTGAGACAATCTCTACCATGGAAAAATGTGGATAGCTGACCCATTCGTGTCAAATATCCAAGGTCAGGATGTGCTCAGTGCCTAATTTCTAATTTGAGCATTAAATAATGAACGCATTAGCAAACACCTGAGTTGCAGATGTATTGCACAGCTGTGGATTTCTCTGGTACCATCAGATCATCACCGCATGTAAGACTTAAGAATATACTGCAGACTGCATTGCTCGTCCATAGTTAAACTTTATTTCCTCAGTAGCTTTAGAGATGGGAATGTAAATCATGGATTTGTCCTGTTTCTCTTACAGGGGCTTATTGTTTGACTTTTAACACTTAATACTTGATTTGTTTAAAAGCACACATAGCTCTTATACTGTAATTTAACATTCCTTAACTATAGGGGCTACATTACAAGATCCCTGTATGGACTTTTGCTCTCTTACACAGGGACATAGCAGAATTGAAGCCACCTTGTGGAGGTAAAGGACAAGGAAAACCTGGAAAAAAATAGCTTGTAATTTCTTGTGTTTGGAGATGAGTGGAGGAGACCATAGTACATGTTATGGTGTCAAGAGTCTACAGTAAGACTGTCAATACAGCTGTCAGGGGAGAGTACAGGGTAACAAAGTGTGTCTTGCTGAAATTAGGAAAAGAAAAGAGAGTTGTGCCAGGAGTCCCTTCCACCTGCACTTTTGCTCTCTGTGGGTAGACCACTTAGAGATCTGACAATATCCAAAGTCAAGGGAAACACACTCTGTAGTTTAAGAAAATCCTATCCTGTGGCACTTTTAGTCCCTACAGGAATTCCTCAGCTATGACAGATTGGAATTCCCTTGTGAGGTTCCTTCAAATTGAAGCCTACAAAAAGCCACAAAGCTTGGGGAGGGAATCACATGTATTCTGTTTAAAGTAAGGGGGAGAACTGTAATCTCCAGGGAGCGTTAAACAGGCTGTGTGCCTAGCTGCCTTTTCGAGAGCACAACTGTAGCTATTTGAGAAGAATGGTTACTTACAGCTTCAGGTCCGTACTGAGCAGAAGCAGCCTGCAGCCCCATTTCCCGAAGGTACGCCAGCTCAGCAGCTCTTCGTGCCCTTTCCACTTTATAAGAACCTGGGGGAGTCCAGCCAATGCCTCTCAGCCAGTTCAAGTCAGACTTGTATTTTACCTAAGAGAATGAAACATACAATAGTATGTATTACTATTAACCACATGCTCTGTGTTTTCAAGAAAGAGAGAAAGTATACAAAGAGGAACAGGGTTAATAGTGAACAAATTGTTTTGTGGGTTTTTTTTTTTTTTTTTTTCAAACAGTCTTTAGTTGTTTTAAGAATGATTTTGTTGATAAATTAGGTCTGTGATAACACTGCCACCCAGATAGCTCTTAGCACTGGGAAGGAGAGTGCCTCTCAGTTGTACTTACATCACTCTGCAGCTTGTAGGCCTGCTTTGCGTGTTTCACATTTAGCTGCTCAGGATCACAAGTGTATTGGTGCAAGGGCTGCTTGTAGTTAACATTGCTGGCAAGCTGCTGGCTTCTCTTAGCGTGGAGGAAGCCTGGCTGGTTAAGGTGACTCTGAAAACATGCTCTGTTTTGGGCATATCCACTTCTGTACAGGTTGTCACTCTGGAGTTTTCCCACTCTGAGGACATGTCCAATGTGGGCATCACCATTTGCATTGAAGAATCCAATCATGTGGCCTCTGTCTCGCAGGAAGGCTTCTCTGTATTTGTACTGAGGAGGATGCAGAGAAAAGAATAATTTTCACATTCAGATTACCTTCAAATTCCATTATGAAACAACACATCCTCCCCTAGCTTTTAGTAACGTTTTTTGTGTTGCACAGAGACCACAGGTTTGTTTGATATCAAAATACATCTCCTAATCTAATATGACACGACAGGAGAATGACCTTGATGTTAATTTTTAAGGGACTGGAACAAATGGGGCCCAAAGTAATCCCCTCTCAAAAGTAACCAGAAGTCTTATTCTGTACTAAGTAAACATCTCAAGCATGCAGCTCTTCCATATTCAGCTTTCCTGCTGACTGAGGTCTTCTGTGTTCAAAGGTGACCCACTTTATTCTAGCTCACACCTGACTATTCATAGCCTGGCACCTAGTTTATGTAACTACAGTACAAAAAATGAAACAGAGCAGCTTGGTATTGGACATTATTAATGAGAGCCTATAGTTGGAAATCTTCGTATTTAAATGGCATTTGCTTCACCGATTACCAATTTTCACACACACGCACACACACAAAAAGTTTCCTTTTGTCTTATTCACCCATTTTTGCAAAGTGGGGGTGGCATGGGAATAAGATTGGGAAGTGTTTGAAGAAGAGCAATTCTTACATCACTAGCAATCTCTCTTGAAGCCTTTGCTGTCTGGAATGGAATGGCGTCAATCCTAAAATCATAGCCAGATGCTCTTGTCTGTTCCCAAGATGTTTTATACGCTTTCTGTGTTGAAAAGAAAAGAACAAAACAGTCATTTCCCCCTTGCAGTTTCTTAAGTGTAGTCCCATGACTGTAATAATAAATGTTTTATCCTACTGGGCTTGTTTGTTTCAAGAGTCATCAGTACCATCTCCAAGGTTTTGATCCAGTTCTACAGCCCTTCAACTTGTTTTCTATTTCCCATAACGATAAAATGTCTCATCTGAAAAATGCCACTAGGGTTTCCTTTTGTACATGAATGTGGTTGTTTCTGATTGGGTTTAATTTATATTAGAAACTGTGATGCATCAGTCACATCAATATTGCATTGATATTACTCTTATTCTCTCTTTTGATGCATCCACTTGCAGTGTCTTGGGTTTCATGGCATCATAATTTCAATACTAGTTAGTTCAAGCTTTTCTAATGATTCCTGTCTCTATTTCATAGCCACATGTGGCTTCATTAATTCATCTAAAATAACAACCAGTTCTAACATATTTAATGTGACTTTGTGGGTGTGAAATACATTTACATCTTGAAGAGAAATTTCTCTAGATTTGGCTCTTCTTTCTTTAGTAGCATTCTTACCACAGCTTGCAGTCCTACTACCCAGCTGTTGCACCTTAGCAGATACTTTTGGCTGTCCCTTTCTGATTTTATTGATTGGTTTTCGGGAAGACTTTGATCCATCCTTTTGAAGGTTTGAAATTATATGAGGAAAACAGCACGATATCTATTTCATATTTCAAAAAATATTCTCATGTTTCACGGACGGATTTAGTGCCAGCTGATGCTTGATTTGAAAGTAAATTAAGATGCTAGAAGTCCTGCCAGAACCAGTAGCCTGGATAGAACCAGTGCAAACATTAAGAGATGTTTTGTTAATAGGTTTAGGGCTGATCTTTTGTTTGTGTACAATCACCCCTTTGCCACGTTATTTTTTTTCATCTGTCACATCAAAGAACTTAAATCCTATTTCTTTCTTGTACATATGGAAGACCTACCAACAAATGAGAAACTAAAAACTTTTTTCAAACTAAGATCACTCTGACCCTGCAGCTAAAGATGACGAATTTGATCATAACTATTAGCAATAGACTGTGTGCCACTGTATGAAGTAAAGTGGAAACAAAATCTCTTTAAACCAATTCCACTCACTGATTCATTTGCACTCTCAGTAAGGACTGTGCCTAAGGGATCAGTTCAATGCAGCATTGCAACTTCATGAAGATAGATCATACAGTTAAGGAAAGAGAGGGATTCTCTCTCTGCCTCATCAAATGTAAGAAAAAAGATTTATATTTATAAGAAATTATACCTAAAATTTAGGACTGAAATGTTTAATAATAGCTTATTATCCTAGGAAGCAGAACTAATTTTTAAAAGAAAAATAAACAATTTTTCCTGATCCCTCCCTCTCAGGCCAAGCAGCACACTGGCAGTCCACAAGCTCTGCCTTTTTCAGTTCATGTCAGGTTCAAAGAACCTGACTTCTACACCTTCATGAAAGCTTTTCATTTCCAAGCAAATTTGTTTTCTTTAATGACTGTTACGAACTCAAGTCCTCGAAGTAAAATCTTACTTACATCACTGATATGAAGTGCATTCTGGCGAGCTCGGATAAAATCTGGATGATCAGGAGGCAGGGTATACCTGTGCCTGGCTTCAGAGTCTCCAGCCTTGTACAGCCTCTGAGGAGTCAAAAGACATTGAATGCAATTGATTCTGGAAGTGAGGTCAATTCTTTACTGCCTTTAGCACAGCAAAAGTTAAGATCATTTATAGTCATACGAAACCTACGTCGTTGCACTGCAGGTAGCTATTTTTAGCATGAATCAAATCTGGAGAGTCAACCACAGCGGTGAACTTCAAACTTCCTGGCTTCTGACGGTACTTGGTCTGGAGGAGCCAAAACAACAAACAAATACACACACAGAAGATGCTTCTGTTAGATGATATTGTGATTCCAGGTGTGCTATAATTGGAGTAAATCACCAAAATCACCTTCCTGAAGCCACAGTAATAAAAACATACTGTTTTGCTTCAGTCTTATTTGCTCTTTCAGCTATTGAACAAGGATTTCACTGTCTCATTGCTGTAATTCTGAATAACCATCCTTTTTTTTTTTTTTTTTTTAATGTAAGGACTTTGCACTGAAAATTCACATTATAATTTATGAACACTACATTTTTGGCAGCTTATCATTTTCTTCCATTAATACATGATACCAAGCAGACTAATACCAAGCAGACTAATGCACCCTCATTGTGACTGTCAATGCTGTATCTTTCTATATCACTTCCATAAGGACCTGCTTAGAATTTCATAATAGAATTTACTGCATTTATTTATTGCTACGTGTTTTGTTTATACTCTTGTGATTCATTTGGAATGGAAAATATTCAGCAGGTGTCACACAGTGGACTTGCATCTCCTGTACTGCTTCTTGGTAACTTATACCTTGTATAAACAGGCTCCCACATCAAAAGGAAATGATAAGCTACATTCGTAAGTGTCATGTAACGAGGAGCCTTGATGGTAAACAATTCCTACAGACGTGCTAACCCATGAAAGATTTATCAGTTACCTCACTGATGAGCTCGCCAGCCTTCTTTACGCTTTCTATCTGCGGAGATCTCAGAGCCATCCAGCCAACTCCTTTCATGAAGTTCAGGTCTGATTTATAGCG